TTGACTCATATTAAATCAAAGCCTTTCTTCTTTACTGGGACCAAAGAAGCATGTGAGAAAAGAGGAATGAGGGGGGAAAATGAAATGAGAGAGGCTTGCAAAACAGCAAGAAGCATGGCAAGTATAGTTCACCCAAGACTGACATTTTTTTGCATCTTTAGAGATGAGAGACTTATTGACAGGCACATAGCAATTGGGCCTTAAGAAATCCAAATCAGACCAGCTGCTGAGGCATCAAGGTAAATCATTAGCCTGTTTTCTTCCTTTCATAGTCTAGCCTGCAGAGAGAGAAACTTACTGATATGTTTCTGCTTCCTCATCTACTTATTTAACCTTAATCCATAGCCATGTGGCATCAAATCCCAGTTTTTTATAGAAACTGGCCTGGTGAAGATCACCAATAATTGCCAGTTGTCAGAGATAGTGGTTGATTTTCAGACTTTTTCTGACCTGATGTAGCATCATCACTGCTGACCTTCCCTCCTCTTGAGCTGGCCTCCTTCCATAGTTCCACAGTACTGACTTTCCTCTGGTATCTCCACTGTCACATGCATCTGCAGGATGCTTTTCTTTCTCTGCACACTCCTCCATGCTCCTGATGTTGATTTTGCTTGAATTTTGGGCCTTGCTCATCTTTTCACTCAACTAAAGCTATGCCAGTTTTAAGCACTTGGTAGTGAAGTAACTGAAACTACCACTTTTATTTTGATAATTTTCTAATCTCCATTTTGGACTTCATATCCAGCTGGACATCACTTCCAACTGATACGTCTAAAGTTGAACTTATTTCTCTTCTTTCAATCTCTACTTTCTCCCCAGATCTAGAAGTGCCAATTTTCCCATTGTGTTCTATTCTGGTTAATGCTATCCAAAGTAACTTTTGGGAATTACCAAGATTCCTACACTTGCCTGCTAGTCTCTCCAGATTTGGAATTTACCTACAGTCCTACAATTCCCTTTCTCATCTCTATTCACTTACAACTCTCTCCTCATTATCTCTTCACTCTCTCATTACTGCTACTCTTTGTGTGCAATTATCTTCTTTTGCCTTTATTATTGCAAATTTATAGCTTTCCACATTGATTAAGAACATCTTTCAGAAACAAAATCTGTTTATATCCTTTATTTTCACTCTCCAAAGCCAGGAAAAATTCCAAACTTCTTCCTATCCTAATTCCACCACCTCATCAAGCCTAATCTCACAACAATCTCCTTCCACATTTGTTTCCAGTCATATGTCTTCAAATATGTCAGATTACTTCATACTGCAATGTCAGAGATGTTCCATATGAGTCTCTCTCTCTCTCTCTCTCTCTCTCTCTCTCTCTCTCTCTCTCTCTATATATATATATATATATATATATACACACACACACACACACACACACACACACACACACACACACATATATATATATATATATATATATATATATATATATATATATATATATATTATTTCTACACACACACACACACACACACACACACACACAATACAATTCCAACACCCAGGCTCAACCCAATCACATCCTTAGGTCATCTCCCATCTATTCCTTGCCCTGAGTCATTGAGACTGACTTGATCATTCTCTTATTGTGCTTATAATAATTTGTGTTGAATAAATTATGCAGAGTTATGCCTCTAAAAAATAAGACAGTAATGACTAAAATGGTACTTGAGCTATGTCTTAGTCATAATGCATGTAATGATATTACTTGCCTTATTTAATATAGTCTTGAGGCTATTATAATTTACCCCTAATTTGTAATAATCTACATATTTTAAATAGTTATGGATGGAGAGTTGATTCCCAATGGCTACAGTTCTATTGAAATGCTATTATCAACCAGTTAGAGTGTTTATACATATAAACCTTTGCTAGGTAAGTCACATTTTTATTACTCTGTTTTTGAACATATTAACTATTTAGAAATACAAATCATGAAAGCATGAAGATCTGATTATTCATGGCATATTACAAATATCATCATATATATAGGACAGGGGAAGACTCTGGGTATAGTTCTCCTGGATAAGAAGATGGGAGAGTCAGCTTTACATATCCCTTAACTATAGAAAGGCTGATTTCCAGTAATATATTTAACAAGTCACATGCCAATATTAGGTCAGCTTAGACTGACTGCTAGTCTTGAATCAGTTTAGAAATTGAAGACCTTCCTACTCAGAGACCTTGTAAAGATAAGACAGGAATTCTTATCAAGGGATGCATAGCTTTCTCTCCAGCTAGCATTGTACAACTTTTAGGAAAGCTGCCTTTCCCCATACATATAGTTTGTAGATTCACAATGCTTGTGTTGGATAACTTTACCATTCCAAAGAGATTTAAATACCATAAAAATGTTCTTCAACATCCCCAAGTCTCATTTTTATATATGTTTTCAATCAAACATGGACCCCATTCACCTTTCATGTACTTACATTTATTTGATGTCTAATGTATGTTGTTTATATCTAAAAATTTATCCTCAAAAGAGCTTTTATAAATAAAAGAATAGCACTTTAAATTATTAAAGAAAACCTGGTAAAAACTGCAAGATGAACAAACATATTACATGCTTGTTCTTTCAAAGGGTATGTTGCAAATTTACCTCTTACTCCACTGATGGTTTTTCATTCATGGTGATGGTGTAGGAGTGAAATGTAGGAGTGAAAAGCTTGGGCTCCAAAGCCAGACTGTCAAGATTCAAGCTTTGCTTTGGCTTTATTATTTATTAACTTATTAAGCATTTTACTTTGGCCGATCTTTTAATCTTTTTATCTGTTTCTTCATCTGTAAGAGGGGAATTATAAAATTTATCTTTTTAGGGTGTATATGAATTAAATGGGCAAGTTCATATGAAGAGATTAGAGTAGAATCTGCTCAATGTCAGCTAACAATAAATGCTGTGTCATGATTTTGTATATCTACAGATATATGCACATTATACAGCTAAATGCACATTATACAGCTAAAACTCAGTTCATTAATTTTTTCAATATCCTTTCAATTACTTACTCAATGTTAAATTCATTTATTCATTAAAGATTTGCTGATTGCCTATTAAATATTAGGCACTGTATTGATTATATGAAAGATAAAATATTAGATATGACCCTGCTTTCTCAACAAATATAATATGGTAAAGTGATGAAAATATATAAAAATAAGATCTTTAGATGAAGTTGTTCAAGAGTATTATATATTAATATTTCTTCAGAATTCAAGGGCTATGTTCATAATTATAAACAATATTGATTACATATTATGTCTTTAATAACAAGTAAAACAAATTGTATTACTTTTCATAGCACCTCTAAAACAGGAAGCTGGTGGCAAAGAGAGAGTGAGATCACTGAAGCCCATCCCAAAGATACCACATTTAGAAGCCTTTTGACAGAGCTTCACTTCCAGATGACTGTGTTATGGTCCCCAGAGTAAAATGAACACTTAAATAAGTGTCATTGTTTCTAATTTGTTGCATTCATGAATGCTTCAATTTTAAATATCAAAATGTGACTTAGAAATTTAAATAGCAAAAACTTAACATATTATTAAGTCTTAAATTTACTTTGCCTTTATAATTCAGTTATTCTTTCAGATTCTTGAATATTTAAGCCATTTAAAATATTAATAGCATACCAAAGAAATACCAATATTTACATTAATTTGAAATTCACAGTACTCTATAATATTTTCAGTGCTTTATATTATTCATAATTACACTAAATAAAGCATCCTCATGGAAGGAACTCAAACAATATAAATGCCTATTGCACAACAAGCAATGCTTTTCTTTCAGAGTAAAGATAATAAAAATAAAAATATGAAGTAATATTAAGCTGGAAAAACAAATGAGGTAATATTTGAAAAGTGTATATAAAACAAATAATTTTCAAATGACTGTTTTTTTTATTAACAACAAACTGATATATACTTAACATCAGAGGTTTTTAAATCATGATAATTCAAAGTTTACAAATCATAAAACTTCTTATTATAGGAACTTTTAAGTAGTAGGACTATTATATATACCATCCTAATTTCTTCAAAATGGAAATGATCATGTCTGTGATTAACTAAATAATATTTGCATTTTCCAGAGACAGCTTAGGATCATAGGATGATATCATATATATAGACATCAGGTTTCAATAAGAATATAAGAGATTAGGATGATTCAGCTAACTGTGGAAATGAAAATACAGTGAATTCTCTGTCATCTCCTTTCAACATTTTGAAAAACATTTCATTTACAAATCAGGAATACCTAATGGTTACAACATTATTTTTTTTGTTGATTCAGCTATTAAAAAGCACTAAAATGAATTGCAGGAGGAAACATTATAATAGGTTGCAGACCCCTCAACTCATCCTTGTGTTGGCTCTTCTGTTTTCATTTCTAGCCCTTAGGAACTAAGATATATATTGATACTTTATTATAAATACAGTATCTATTTTAGTAACGCCATAAGTTGTATTCTAAAATACACTTTTGAGTAAAAATGTTCTCTTTAAAGATAAAATATTTTGTATGTCATCATTTACTTACTATTTCATGGTGTCTATGGCGTATGAAATTCTTACAATTTCAATATGAGTATCTAAAGAACATCAACCAAGAGTAAAACCAACCCAAATGAATCCATGTTTCAAGATAATATAACATGTTTTAAAAGACAAAACGAAAAACAAAGAAAACCTCACTAAACTAAATCTCTTTAGTCAGAAGACATTTTTCAGTGGATCTTATTATATATGCAACTTTTCCCCTTTTCTCATCTCTAAGACATTTTTTTCTAAGCACATGTAGACTTCTATAGAGATTATAAAATTCTCAAGCACCCATATTATTTTAGGGTCAAGTTACTCTGTGTACAGAATATGTCACATCAAGTTAAGTTCTAAAATGAACATACTCTATCATGTTTTATCTCTACTAATATAGATAGAAGCCAAGAGGCCCATGGGGGCATTTTGGCAACACTGTGTTACTTACGGTTGAGAGGCAGGCTCGCATTGGTTGTGCCTAGCTTGTTGGCAGCCACACAAGTATAGTTCCCGAAGTGCTCCTGTGTCACATTGGTAACAGTGAGAATGGATCTTGTGCTAAAATTTTGAATGATAATTCCTTGTTGGCCATTGAAGAGCCTAGAAGACAAAATAAACTATAGGTAAGTATGTATTATAAGTATCATTTTCATTTTTATTTTAGATGGGGCTGTAATGACAACCCATAGTAGACAGTTTTGACTACTGGCATTGGTATACAGCGTGATAATGTTGCAATTATATTTTTCTTTTATTAATAGATATTAGTCAGGAGATGCTATAGACTGTTCTTATGGGATTATTTGCACTATTTAACAAACTGAGCTTAGATATGCATGACCTATTTATATATTGTTTTGTATTTTAAAAAATTAAACATATCAAAACAATGGCATCTTATTTGTTAAAGTCAAGAAAGAGTAGGAGAAGTTAAATATAGAGTCCATTAAAAGCACAAACTGATAGTTTCTAAGTAAACTGGTAGGGACATGTCTAAACCAGTGGTCAGCAAACTCCTTAGTCAACAGAGCCAAATACCAACAGTACAAATGATTGAAATCTCTTTTGAGAGACAAATTTTTTAAACTTAAACTTCTAATGCCACTTCTTCAAAATAGACTCACCCAGGCCATGGAATTTTGTGGAAGACCCACACTCAAGGGGCCAAAAAGCTGCATATGGCTCGAGAGCTATGGTTTGCCAACCACTGGTCTAGACCATTTCAGGTGATATTATTGAATAATTCCTATTAAAGTTAAACCTACAATGAGATAATGTGATTCCAGTGTCAACACCATTTTACTGCTGCCATGTACAATGAGACAGAAGTATAGTACTGAGGGCTGTATTTAAAGTTGAGTCTTATCTCTGCCACATTTTAGGAAGATGCTTGTAACAGTCCTTTACCTTTTCTGGGCCTTAATATAGATTCATTTTTTCCAGATTCCATCTGGACTACTCAATAATCTCTCTCCAGACTACCAGCAGAGGTCCTCACTCTCACCCTGGCTGGTATAGCTTCATTATTCTCACTGCTTGCTATGATCAGACTTGCTTCACTCTTTTCCTGAATCTACACTCAATAGTCATCATCTTTTTTTACCTCTGCCATCTAGAGCCTTACTTCCTCATTTAGGTCTGATCTAGTCCCATCTCTCTTTCTCTGATACACCTTAAATGAATCTCCTCTCTTTTACTCTGCATGTTCTTTTTTACCAAATTGTTGCAGCATTTATAAAGCAAAAACCACATTCTTGAATTATTTTCTCCAGCAATTTCAATGAATACAGGTCTTTTCAACCCAAATAAACTCAAATTCCTCACAAAGCACAGCCATGTAGACACACTTTATATTTTAATCCTACATTGCACTTAATATCCTAAGTCCATAATTAATAGTTCAGAGTCAATGGAGTCTGGGTGATGTCCCAAGACCACAGGGATTGGTAAGCTTCTTTCAGTGCCCCTTCAAGAAATTCTCTCTCTCATTATGAATTCTGCTGTAATGAGAATGCCAATCAGTTAATAACTTCTCCTTAACTAGCCCCTCTGTTTATTGTGAAAAAGATGTGCTGACCACAATATGGGCTATGTAGGCCCATGTTAGTTTCACCTCTTAATGTGTTCAAGTTTTAGCACTAAATATTTCTTTAATTTTAAAATGCTAATGCATGGCATTACTTTAAGAGTCTAGATTGAAATCTTTACATTATGCTATGTGACTTGCATCTGAATTTAGGTAAGATACACTGCAGTTAAATGCAGATTGAAATAAGAAGTCATCCTTGATTACTCTGGGAATTACAATTCATGTACTAGCTGGATTTGGCTTATCTAAAACTCAGACTTTAATCAGATTAGTAAAGCTTTGAGTTGAATAAAAAATGAAAAACATTAAATTGAGCAATAAACCTAATGATCTCAAACTCTGACACAAGAAATTAGGGCATAAAAGCGTGACCAGTGTGGTTCAGGGGTTGAGCATGGACCTAGGAACCCAGGGGTCATTGGTTTGGTTCCCTGTCAGAGCACATGCCTGGGTTGCAGGCTCAATCCACAGAAAGGGTTTTGCAGAAACACCAGCTGATCAATGTTTTTCTCTTGATGTTTTTATCTCTCTATCTCTCTCCTCTCCCCTCTCTCTAAAATAAATAAAAATATATTTTAAAAAACTAAGGCATAACATATTAAGATGAGGCAGCTTTTACTTTTCTTTCTCATATTATAAATCTATCAAAATTTATGCTAAATTCAGTGATATTGCACATTTTTATGTATCACATTAATAACTTTGCCTTTAATGAATTAGTTTATGTCATATATTCTAAAAAATCACAATTTCATTATTTTTAAGAACATAAGCATTATAGCTCAAATCAATTTGTTCATATTTATGCTATGGACTTATTTTCCAGAGAACTTAGCAACTCCCTAGACTACTAAACCCCATTGTACCCCATCTATCAAACCAAGATTAATTTTGTTGCTAGATAATTGAGAAAAAATCAGTGTCTTCACTTGGCTAGACTCTAGGGAGAAAATCTCAAGGGAATATTGAGATTCAATATTCCCCTGAGTTACTTCAAGGCATTGTGGGCTTATGTTCTTTATGGCTATCTTTCTAAGCTGGCTTGTAGTTCTCTGTCCTTTAATGCATCTGACGGCAAAGCCACAGATGTTGCTAAATCATGCATCACATCCATGTTCTGAATGCCTAGGCTCATTTTTGACTTCTGGCCAGCCGTGCACATCAGTGCTCCAACCCTTGCTGCTCACATCAGCCTGGCAGGTGATTATGGCTAATAAAAAAGAACAGGATCTTCCCTGGGTTGTTTCTTCCCTCTGGGGGAAGCCACATCTCTGAGATTACTGGCGAGTTCACAGCTTCCTTTCTTTTGTAGTTTGGAGTTTCAGAAGTGCTGACTCCTCAAGCATCACTTCAGAACCTATCCTTGCCTGGTGGATGGCTGCGACAGCCTTGGCAGAGCTGACCTTGAGGGAGAGTGACTTCTGAGATGGAGTGGACCTCTTAAGAGTGTATCTCTGTGATTTTCTTGCAGGTAATCGTGGGGGTAATAAGGAACTTTCTCAGCTATATAAATTCTGAAAATAGTCATTAAAGTGCAGAAAAGATGAGTTCTGTGCTGTGATTAGGCACTAGGCTGAGCAACACATGTTCATTGAATATTTTTGAAGGCCCATGAGAAGGTCAAAGTTGAAGATAAGTATCAGGTATATTAACAAGTGTTTACAGTGAAGGGTATTTTAATCACAACAGAGACCCTGTTAAGATGAGCACCTCTATTCTCAGTTATTGGTTATAAAAATTTTAGCCACACCAGAAAATCCTATCAATATGCCTCTAATGTAATTTTACTCCTTTATAAAAAAATAAATAATAGAATTCTTTGATTGAGGGTACAGATTTATTTTTAGGAAACAGATTTATTTTAATATAGTATGATATAATTACATTTTCTGTAAAGAGAATCTTTTTTTTATCAGTAAAAACATATAATTTCCAAATTGGATTGTTATTATGAGTTAAAGAAAATGCTTGCTCAGTTTAAATCATGTACATATGAATCATGTACATATTCACAGATTATTCTGGCCCCAGAGATTTTTTTTATATCAATTTCAGACTTGTATGAAACCAGACTAGCTTGCATCAGTGATGTGAAAACTGAAGTGGCAAGTCAAGAAATTGTTTATAATATACTTTTCAATAAAACAAGAGAACTAAATTCAGAATATTGCCTTATTTGGAGATCTGTATCTCTTTTCCCTAAACACTTAATTCTTTCAAGTTCTAAAGAAACTTTGTTGTGTTGACTTAGATTATAGAATGAGACATTTTTTCTCATAGTCCTCATTCCCCACAAAGAGAGAGAAACTAATTTTTCTGGACTAGGGTTTAAATATGGCATTTTTTTCCCTGTAGCAATAGATCGGCAGCATATGGTGCTTTCTTAGAAATGTGTGGCCATTTTTATTTTTCCCCACTTTTACCATTCAATGGACCTCATGGCTGTAAGATTCTTCTATTACTATGGTCAGTCACCAACAGGAGTTTGTTCCATACCACTATAACCTGAATGTGTGTGTCCTCCAATGTTCATATGTTGAAATCACAAGGGAGTACACAGCAACACCACAGAGCAAACTTGACCACATAGACATTGGCACTGATTGCTAAAATTGTGAAAATAAACGGACCAACTTATACCAGACCTCATCCATTTTATTTTTATAAATTCAGCCTCACTACACATTTTGAGCATTTTATTTATTATCTGCCTTTCCATGTCAGCACTAACAATAAATATTTCTAGAGATCTAACTTTTAGCTGCAAATAGTCACGGAAAAGCTCCATTGCTATTGTAATATAAGAAACATATATGAGAATATCAGATGACAATATTTATAATATTAAAATAACTTGGAATAGGAGTGGGTAGAGATGTTTGCAAATAATGGTATAACTTTCATCAGACTTCATTTATAAGGGAGTAAGATAATTATATATTATGTTATATAATTGAATAAGATAAATTTTTATTAATTGATCTTTGGGTATTAGCATAGCATAGATGAAAGACAGTTCTTAAGTCATACAAGTCATTTTTTACAGAAACAAATGCAACTTCCAGCAATGGAGTATATGTTTGAGGCACTCAAGAAGTGGTATGAGTTAAATATATAATTCAAACAAAGAGATTTAGAAAAAGTCATGGGTAATGGTGAGGCAGGTTAGTAAAAAGAAAGAAAAATTCCCTGGCAAGTGGAATGCCAGAACAGCTGAGCAATTAACAGCCAGCTGATAAATCACAAGACTCTATTCTACTCTCTAACCAAATATATCTAAGAGCAGGTAATTTAAGTCACCTTAATCAGGGTGTTAAGTAATTAAAAACAATAACACAGTTAGAGCCAGATTAATCCAAGATAGAGATGAAACTAACCAATGTGCTCATTTTAATACATCAGCATACCAAATGACATGCCCAGAAATCTAATGAATATTCTGTTGATACCTCCCCTGGGGTATCCTCTAACATTCCCACCTATAGAAAATAGATAAAACCCTCAGACAAAG